CAACATTTAACAAAATTGAACACTAAATTAAGTTCATTGTGTTACGCATTCAGAATTCTTTAAAAGTCCGTCAGCCTTCATGCAGCTCGTCGCATGTATTTTGTAAATGTGCATTCCCGCCTGAGACATGACATAATATTCTGGGGAAAAAACATTTTCAACATTTTCTCAAAATGACTCCAAAAGTTTTGATTAAACTTTGTCCTGGGATAGCCTAAAGAATGCTTAAGGTGCAAGTCTGACGTTTATTCAAATCCCAGATTTTTTTTTTTGTGTGTATGCAAAATTGCAATTGATTTCAGCGTCTTTCTACAACTACAGGATATTTTTTCCGTAATGAAATCTGTTTCTTAAAGACAGTTATTGAAATAAGTTCATGTTCAAATTTTCGATAATATGAGTTTTCGTATAATTTTGCGCAAAATATAGGCAATTACAAAAAAATTCTAAATACAAATCCAATGGTTTCTTTAAATTTTCCTCTCATATGTAATAAGGGACGATAAAAAATAAAGCGCAAGTCCTATTTTCGGCGAACTCTCCATTTTTTCTACAATTGCAAATAGTAAACTGTTCAAAACTACAAAATTGGAGTTAAGAGATTTTTGCCTCAGACAAGTCTATTGTAAAAAATCAGTTCTTTAGAAAAGGTCATGTACAATTTTTTTGAAAACAAACAAACAAACAAACAAACTAGTAGTGTTCGCATTATTTACTCTTGAAATTTATGCAATTCTAAAAAAATGATTATTTTCTTAAAAACCAATTCAATTTTTTTCTTTTTTCTACTCTCCGTGGATAGAACAAGAGACGCTTAAAAGAATGACGTTGGTCTCATTTTAGTTGAACTCAGTGAATTTTCAAAAATGTCAAATTAAAAAAAATAATGCGAGAAAGTGGTATGTGTTATAGCACCACTAGTTCATTTTTTTAAACTGTTCTGGGAAGTTTGGAATAAGCAACAGCGAGCTGACTCCCATTTCGTAAAGTGCTGCAAAGACATTTTAAATATATTTTCTTTGTAGCCAGTAGTAAAAACAATATGCGGTTGCATTGCGACGGGAAGTGAAAGGGCAATCTGCGTGCGGGACGGCAGACCAGTCCGGTATGATATAAATAAGCTGGGGCCATGTTGCCGTGGGTGTGTCTGCATAGTGCTCTCACATTGTACCCTATAATGGTACTAAGCAAAATAATAGGAAATACCGTGCCGTAGTCAGACATCACTCAACTAATTACGGGAAAGGATGGGGGATGCTTATATTTGATAATACACATTTCATTCATTTTTACCTTTACTCGTGCATGTCAACTGTTTTATAGTGCATGTTTGCATATATATTTAAGGACACATTAAATGCATGAAAATCTTTACTCGCCTCTATTCTGAAATGATTTGATTTATTAGTAAAAAAACAGTAAAAACTGTATGTGATGTGTGGGGGAGAAGTAATATCTGCTCACGTCTTCTTGAGCTCTAGAATCTCCCCAACATTTTAACTTTATTTGGTTGAATAATGCATTACTTTTTTTTAAAAGCGACTTTGGCAACTTTTCAAAACCGCATTTTTCCTTCCGATTTATAGAAAAGTTATTTGCGTGATGAGATAATTCTATGGTGAAAAAAGTATTTCTGCCAAGTAGTAACGGCGAGGCAAAAGCAAAGCCGAGGATTACAAGGTCTTGACAACGGTCATTAAGAAATACTAAACATTTCTTTCTCTTCTTTCCAGTTTTAAGGCGTGCGTAAGTATCTACAACAGATAAGCAGGGTCTTCGGACGACCTTTCACTCGCTCTCCTGAATTCTCTCCATCGAGGCAGGGTCGGTTTAGGTTCTGATGGACCCCGAAGCACAAAATCTTGCTCCCCCCCCCCCAGAAAAATCCTCCAGATTTACTACAAAAAATGCATATTAGAATCACTTTTTGTACAAATATAAATGAAAATAAATAATTCCATATGAATATAAACAAGACATTGAAATATCTACAAATAGAACATCTCGCAAATGCTGTGTTCACTTCATCATCTTTGAAAGTATATGATTTTTACAAAACTATTTTATTTCAGGACCGTGTGAGCGTTTCCACACGCTACGACGTTCGTTCTTCACGCTCTAGTTTTATAAAATGATGGTTAAAATGGAATTCAGCATGACCACTGCTCTTAAGGGCAGTGACAGAGCAGGTGACGTAGTGTGAATACATGCACGCTTCAAGATGAGCAACAGTTGTCAGTGAAGTTCAGATACTTACTTCATGTGTGGCTCGGCAGAAGGAAGTTTCCATGTTTCGTCATCTCCGCAGGATTGTTCCGCCAATATAAATCGTTTATGCCGATGCATTTTTAGGGTTATCAATGTAGTTCAAAGGAGTGCGTAAAGGGCGACCCTTAAGGGCTATTTTACGAAAAATTGGTTTTGAAAAGGAATTCCAGAGGAACACTGCGTACGCAATTTAGCTCTTTTGGATTGCCGAAGTTCGTAGGAAATTCGAAACAAAAATTGAAGACTAATTATTACTATTCCTTCACAAAATTGATGTCACATTCGATTCACTTCTAAGCAGGCGAGTCTGTAAATAATGGATCGTTAATCCACAGCATTATGCAGCTTTAAAACTATTTCTCTTAACACTTACTTCGAAATAAAAGCTCTTACATCAGAGAAACAATACGGCCTTCATGAAAACATTCACAATTTTCACAAGGTCAACTCGTAAACTTGTAGACAATTTTATTACGTTTTTCTTCGACCTCGCAATTCAGAAAATCAACGTCGTCTCCGCAACACTTTCTTGCACGATCGAACGCGACGGAGCCAGGTGAGAACCTACAGACTCGCGTCGCACCAAAGTTGGATGACTTGCCACTATTCGGCGCACCTGTTTGCGTAACGCGCGAGAACCCTTACGCAGCGCGACACGAAAGCCGAACGAACACACTCTGTCAACGCCCCGCCGCCGCAGTGGTCGTCATGCACAGGGCAACGTGCGAACGGAGACCTACTCCACACGTCCACGAGCAGCAAAAAAAGAAAAGGAAGCAAAATCGGGCGCGCTGCCCTTGGAGCGCACGTGACGAGCGCGTCAGTGCAAGACGTAAAACTGAAGACGGGCCCTCCCTCCGCTGAAAAGCACCTGTGCAAGGGACACTTTCCCTGCGGCGGAGGCGGCCTTTCTCTCCTCCCCGTGCGCAGGCGCAGGCGCGCGGCCACGGCGGGGCGGACGCGCGAGCTTCGCTTTTCCTTCCCGTTACCCACGCTGCCACACCACACCACGTCCTGCGCGCCTCAGCGGCCAGGGAAAACCGACGGTCAGTGTTGGGATAACGAGGACTCGACGTGGTGGCAGGCGGCCGTGTTTTCGGAAAATCCTTCCGATGACGCCCGCGAGTACATCTAAATTCTAGATCTACCAAACGCCGTCTATGGGGTGTTTTTTTTGCTCTACGTCGAGACTAAATGGAATTGTATCCTCGAATGAAAACTACTCATTGTATATGATTTCTTTGCAATTATTAGTGCTTGACAATCGAGTGTTCGGATGTGCCAAAACTTCAAAACAATAAGACTAGATCAGAACCTAGTACCCAAACCAACGCTTCCAAACACCAAGAGACGTAAAAGCAAATCCAATACGTTGAAGCGTTGGGCTTACGTAGAAAAATGTTATGAATGAGCAATTTCTTAGTAGGACCAACAGATAGGGTACAAAAAGGTAACATCCAACTCTGTCAAGTCTTTATTTGAGGAGACAGGTACCTGTTCTGTACCTGATCCGTAATAGAAATGGTAAGTTTAATCCAAAAAAGTGCTTCCACAATAAAACCCAAAATTAGGTAAAATATTGGATACTACATTAAAAAATAGCATATCTGTTCACCATGATTGCTCAACCACATTCTATTGTATAAAGTTTCACTATTTGTTGAAACTTCCGACGTCTATAAGAAATGTATGGTGTCAACATCTTGTCGCTACGAGTTATTTTCCTAAGAATATATTATTTTCGTATACTATAGTAAAAATAAAAATGCATTCAGTGAACAATGAAATATATTCAGAGACTGATCCGTCGAACATGACGTTTCAGAAGTAAAACTGCATCTGGGGTAGTTTGTTCTGAGAAGTCACGCCGTGAAGTGATACCCGAGATGTTTACGTCAGCGACGACACGTCACAGACTGTTTTCATAACATGCACCGGCGGGCTAAATTCGAACGAGGGGCACGCGCCCTGCCACATGACAGTGCTGAAACGGAGAGGCCAGCGAACAGAATCTCAAGGTTAATCGGGCAATGACGACAGCAATTACTAAACCTTCTTACGGTCAAGGTCGACATCACGCCACTTCTCTCGAAGGACGTCTTGGAATTTTACTGTTGCCTTAAAAGTTTCTTCACAAACGACCATTCGGAGAATACACATTTCAATGAAGTCTTGAAACGAACAGCACGTAAAAAGTTGCGCGTTAAAAAGAGACTAGTGAGTACTTAATATACCAAACCAGCGTTAACACTTACATCATTTCGAAAGGTAAAGATGCACAGCCAGTGCACACAAACACGAAAAAAATCGTCTTCGACGTTCTTCCTCACGCAAATCGCAGACGATGGGCTCTTCCCGCGAGCATTAGCATAGCACACATCGGCCCGCTTCAGCGATAAACCGAGTTCTCGAGAAACTGCGCGCACGAATACATTGCTGATTCAATAAGCACAAGCTGCTGCTGCTGCTGCTGCCTCCGCCGCGGGCCGTCCGGCAAGCACCAGGGACCGCATCCGCGACCGCGAGCTCAGCGCCCCACGGCCTCCGCATCCGTCATAGCCACCTCCCCGCAGCGCAGCGCAGCGCAGAGCGCACGCGCGTCGCACGCCGCGGCGGCGGAAGCGACTGGTGGCGCTGGCGGTAAAATATCCGGGAAACGGGGGGGGGATGCTTTTTGATGCAGCTTCGAGAGAGCAAAAGCTGATTCAATGACCCCGACAATGCGCTGCAGAAAAAGCACAAGCTCAAGTTCATTAACTCCGCCTGTTACGAATTCCTGCGGGAATGTGAACGTTTTTTTGTGAATTCATACCGTGCCTTGGAGCAGAACACGATAAAAAGATTAGGGAAAAATATACAGTGTAACAATCGTGTTTGTACACTTCCCTTTTGTAACTAATAATTAAATATTTACCCTATTTTATAAGTTTTGTCTTATTCTGTCATATTCTTCTGTCTTCTTTATATAACTCCAAGGAAACAAAAACAACCAACAACCAACAAACACTTAACTTGCTTTCAAATAAAAGTACAAATAAATAATTTAACAAAAATCTGGCTATAACCATGCAACAGTCTACTATCAAGTACACTATCAAAAAATTAAAGAATACATTCCAGAATTCAAAAGAAAACAAATATTTAATACCCTGACGCTTTGAGAACTACTTAGCATCGACTCTGCATTGAATGTTTTTCCCCATTCCCCATTCTGCCACAACACATTTTAAGTGTTCCAGTGACTGGGATTTTCTTCGATGCACCATTTTCTTTAAATCAACCCATACATGTTCGATCGGGTTCAGATCAGGAGTTCGATGGAGAGTTTACAATTGCTAGGGCTTGTTGTGTTTAAGCCACTGTTTGCAGATGTCTGTAGTGTACTTGGGATTATTATCTTGTTGAAAAATATATCTTGGCCCTAATTGCATTTTTTCTGCACTTTGCTTAACATTTTTCTTCAAGACATCAAAGAATCCCCATATGTTCATAATTCTGTCGATGATCAGCATAGTTCGGACCCCATTAGACGTCATGCATCTCCAAAACATCACAGAACATTATATATTAATAACATAATTCCTGAATATTGTATCTGAATTTTTGTGCTCTCTGCAGATTTTAATTCTGGCAAGTCGATTTGTTCTACTTATGAATGGCCACTTTCGTGTTCTTCAGCGGTGATAGACGTACTTCCACAGTACTCAGCGAATTGTCTGGTTTGATAGTTTATGATAGATTATATATGATAGTCTATAGTTATTGAAACACAATAATCCGCAAACGAAATCTAGCTGAACGGCTACTATGAAGGACGTCTGAATGTGACGAAAACTATTAACAGCCTAGGAATAAGGGAATTTATTCAAGTGTACAAACATGAATGTTTCACGTAAATAGAATGAACTTCACATTATACGGTGATTGTTGGGATAATCTCTTGTTTCTTTTTATTTAATATGGTGTTATTACTATTTTTTCTTAAGTTTGCATTATACATTCGTGGTAAATAATTAAATAATAGTAATTTATGCAATTTGTTTATAATGTTAAGCTTTATTGCATGAGTACATGTTTTGAAAACGAGCGACTTTAGGAGCGAGTTTTCAAATTTGTACGAATGTAATAAAGCAACGTTATAAACGAGTTGAATACTACATTTTTTCGTATAACAGCATTACTCGTTTATATTTATAAGAGAATCAAACTTAATTTTGCGAAACAACTTCCCTGTGACGACTCGGATATTTGACATCGTGCGAGTAAACGGTGATCGGCTGTTCCGTTTATCTCCCCCCGATTCTCTCGCTGGGCTGAATGTGTGATGACGCATTCATTAGTGACAAAATCTAAGTCATTTGTACCGTAAAATGCCCGATTATGAACCATTTCTTGCAACAGAAAAGGATCTTTTATAGTGCCGGAATACAAAAAAATATTAGAGTATTTTCTATGCAATAATCCATGAAATTCCTATAATATTTACACTGTACAAACAAGACAGTTATGCACTGTTTATCCCCGAGCAACAAATTGCACAAAGGCGAGAACATTGGTAAAAAAAAATTACACTTATTATTCGATTACAACCAAGAGAAGCGTGCCCGGTAGTCCTACATGTGTGACTACCCCAACCTACATTGAGAGTACATCTACCCCAATATATAGAAGCTACGAAGATGATAAGCGGTACTCAGTCCAGGACTCTGAGAGCTCGGCATTGTGAGCACAGCAAGGCCGCCCAAATTTGGGGCTCTTTGCCCAGACCAACTCACATTTCCGGTTCAGGCAATGCCACTGAGCAAAGCTCTTCCTTTATAAATAACCCCATTAAAAATACGAATTCTTTGACAAGATGGGACTTTTATTTTACCATGGAACATTTAGGCGGCACCAAGATTATTGCTAGAAGTATGAAGGTTATACGTGATCGACTATAGACAAATACAAAATCACCTATGACATATCCATCGCGGGAAGTAGGAATCTCGATTATACAATCAAGGTCAGTGTGCGTATTGTTTCAACACCTTGCACACTACGTAAGCATGCATGCATAGTAATATGAAATAAAATTAGCAATAATTAAAACTTAAAGTGTATTACAAAACGGCAACTCAACGCTACCATTCGCGACTCGAGATAATCTCAACATAATCTTCGGCTCTTTAGAAGTAGGTCATTTTCTCTCATTTCTTTGTGTGCATCCTAAAAGGAATACTATTGAGCTAAGCAGTGGTCTCCAAACCGCGGCCCGGGGCCGCATGGGACCTTTGCCTTTATTTTTGGCGGCCGGCAAACAAATTCAGTTTAACAGCGGCGCGTTCTTTATTGTTTCTATTTTACGAATTGAATTGCAGGATGTAATTTGAATAAGAAATTTAAGAATGTAGAAATTTTCGAGATCTACTCTATATGCGTTGAGGAAGTAGCAATGCGCTCACACGAACTCATCACAGTGTCAGTTTTTTGAAAGCACATGCATATGAGAGCAACAGTCTCCAGGATGAATATCGAGACAGACTATCAAAGCTCATTTAGAGAACTGCCTTCGAATTTCTTCTTCCAACATCAAAGCCGGCTTGTGGTGAGCGTGCTCGCTTTCCACTACGCCCCCCCCCCGGTTCAATTCCCTATAGTGTTCGTTTTCCTTGCAAAGTCCCAGTATATGTTGCTGTTTGACGATGAGAAAATTCACTTCTAAAATTGAGAAGACCGGAATACGGTGTGGGGATGTCTACGTGCTGACCACACGTACCCCCTTAACCCATGGCTGCGAGACAGGGACGTCGCCGATAGGCCTGAGCCCACGTGCTGTCGCGCTAAGTACGTACATACATA